GAAAATTAGGAGATTGATTTTGTACAAGGCTTTAGTGGAAAATTTCACAACTTAGGAACCGGACAATATTTCTACTATGCAAGACCAAAGTGCAAAGCAGTGAAAATCTTTAGCAGGCAAGCGTTCGCTGGTCGGGACTGCGCAAAACGCATGGTCCCACTGGCTAACCTCGTTTGCGTCGCTATTTAATCTGTGTTATTCTTTACAAAATCATTGGTGACGCGCACCGGGGGGGGCCCGTGCGATCATGCATTTTTGCAGTGTTTCGTGCTGCAATAAGATCACTCGAAATTCCGCTAGCTAGAAACCTCTTGTACATGCTGGTCCTCGAATTTCGAGAAGTTAATTGTCCACGCTATACTTGGACCGGGAACATTCCCTTAAAATCCCAGGTTCCCAACTTTCTCAGTTCTCCAGTTACCCAAATTGCAGCCAGAAAATTTCACGGGGCCGTACGAGGCAACCACGCATGACGGGGGGGGGGCTGAATTTGATAAATTGAAGTTGTAAATGAGTTGGGAACATTTCCTGAAAGTTTCAGCCTTCCAGTTTTCTTGGTCCTCGAGCTAGCGATTTTCGCGCCACGAACCACCGGGGACTGAATTTGAAATCTTTGAGTTCTACTTTGACTGGAAACATAATCCAAAATTTCAGCTTTCTAGCTTTTCTGGTTCTCGAGTTAGCGATTTTCCCGCCAAAACTTTGAGGCTCTCGTACGCGGGGCCTAGACTTGCTTGAGGGTTTGTACCACGGTCCTGGGGTGGCACTTGGCCGAGGAACCCACTCGCAAAATTTTGGCGCCGGAGCTTGCTTGGGTGCCGAGTTGAAATACCCGGACAGACAGACAGACACACACACATACACACACCGGGGTGGTCACAATATGTGTTTTTGCATATTATGCAAAAACGCATAAAAATGGCACAAATATGGCTCACATTAAGACAGACGACGCATAAAGCACTTCATTTTGCCACTTTTAACTCAACAGTTTCTTCTTTCAGCAGCCGATCTGTGTTCATTGTTCGAGATTTCGGTAAATGGCTCAGTTGTTGAGAGCACCGTGAAGCACGTCGATGTCAGGGATTCACAGCGATGCTCCGAGATGAAAGCGGAAGCCGAAGCATTAAGTCGTGCGGGGCGCAGTTTCGATCGTTTGTTGTTCGGCCTCCGTCACACCGGGACTATTCCGGAAATTGGCCTGCCACAGCATGCAGTGCGCGAGTTTCTGATGCGTTTGGCAAGTGTGGATTCGAATAATCGTTTCGATGCGACCAGCATTGGAGCTGGGGAGCGTGAGGGACGTGTCTGCTCGGCCCTGGTCCATGAGCTGCACCTCGGTTTCGCGCATGGCATCGGCCGATCCGGCAACCTGACCGAGCGCCAGCCGAAAGCTGTTGGTTGCTCCATTCTCTCCGAAATTGCCAACAAACTTGCCCTTGATGCTATTCGCTTCCTGGGCATCCCCGGTGCCAGAGCAGCTATGGTTGTCCCGGTTGCCACCGGTATGGCCCTTTCGCTGTGTTTGGGCGCATGGAGGCAGACGAAAGCTTATGCGAAATTCGTGGTATTTCTTCGAATTGACCAAAAATCGTGTTTCAAATCAATTTTGACGGCCGGTTTCGAGCCGATCATCGTCGATTGTATCCGGGAGAGCCCTAGCAACGATTCTCTGGTAACAGATCTCGCGACGCTGAGGTTGATTCTGGAACAAAGGCACCATGAAATACTTGCTGTTTTGAGTGCCACATCCGGTTTCGCGCCTCGCAATCCGGACGATCTGGTAGCCGTCGGTGAATTGTGCGCGGAGTACGGTGTAAAGCATCTCGTGAACAACGCTTACGGCCTGCAATCCCCGGAATGCCGGAGCCGAATCGAGGAAGCCGGCGCAGCGGGCCACATCGATGCATTCGTGCAGTCCACCGATAAGAATTTCCTCGTACCAGTTGGTGGCTCAATTGTGGCAACGTTCGATGCGCCCTCTCTGGATATCATTGCATCTTTCTACCCGGGCCGAGCTTCCGCGGTACCCTCCCGCGATCTCCTGATCACTTTGTTACAGCTTGGGAGGACCGGACTACGCAAACTTTACGATGAGCAACAAACGAATTTCAAACTTCTACGCAGTGCAATGCAACAGTACGCGCATTCCATTGGCCAAAAGGCGCGTTTTGTTTAGGATTTGTCTGTTTACTTGGAAAAAATGAGTTTTGGCGAGATTAAGATTGTATGTTTGTTTGTCCCGAAGATAAGTTAATCTTCTTCTATCCGAATAATTCGAATTCAAAAATGCAAATCACAGAAGCAGAATTTTGAAAGCATATTTCTTGATTTTACTTACAGTATAGGGGAGGCAGGGGAGGGGTTGGATCTGCTGCTCCACCATGCTTTGTTGATTTGGAATATTGAAAAAGCGGTACAAAAGTAATCTCTGTTTGTGGGTTATCAATCAGGTAACAAATAAAACGAAACGGAAAGTCGGAGAATGTATATGGAACATGGAAAATAAGAACATCTTAACAAAAATGTTTCGGTCCATTAAGTCGCATACATTCCCTATCAGCACTGTAGTTTCCACCTTGTCAGATTGAAGAATAGCCAGAAAGCTTATTTTCGTAACATTCACCGCTGCGTATGATTTTATTTATGTGACTGCATCACTGAAATCCTGTAATGTATCCTAGCCATACGCGTTTCCCGTTGCATGATTCTCAGTTAGGCTCCAATTTTTAATTTTTTTTGGAGGGATTTTATATAGATTGGAACAATTTTGCCACGTTGAAACGTTTTGAAGAAGCAAGGAGGAAAAAAGGGGAAAAGGGAGAGAGGGGGGAGAGATATTTGCTAACTTTCGTCTAGCCTGAACTTGTTGGCTTCGAAGTTTGCCAATCACAGTGCATCCTTAACATCGTGTTCTGTTGTTGCACTGTTTTTTACAAGGCAACGGCGACAGATTCTGAAACAATTATTAAATTTTCGGGGATTAATGGGGCTTCTGCTGTGACTTGATTCCCAGCCGAATCTCATCTCAGAGTTAATTCTTTCATGGCATTCACTGGTTTAAGGTGGTCGATCTGCCAATGAACCAGATCTCCTTGGCGATAACGTTGAACGGCTGGATGGCGGACCAGCAAACAGCATTCGGGGCTCGGTTGTTTAGTCGTGGAGTCACTGGCGCACGGGTGGTACCAAACGGCACATCAAAAAGCATCAGCAGCTATGAATTCGTGAATTTCGGTTCGCATGCATCGCGTCAGCACTGTGGCTACTTGAACGTGGCCTGTGCTCTGGGCATGTCCGTGCACGAAATCGACCAGTTGCAAAGAGTGCTGAGAGAAGAAACCCCGAAGTGGGCGCTGGCTAACACAAAAGGTACGTCAAAATGAATAACTCATTACAGTTGTAATAAAATTGGCCAACGCACGGGCTGCCCGTGCGAAGATGCGTTTTTTGCAGAGTTCCCCGCAATTTTTGTCACTATCGGAGTCGGTTTTTTTGGCAAATGCTTCAAGCTAAACTAATTAAGATTGGTTGCAAGAACTGGTAGGAAACACCCCCTTAAAATTTCAGCTTTCTAGTTTTCCTGGCTCCTGAGTTAGCATCTTACTGGAAAAAACTTTCACGGGCCCGAACGCGAGTACGGCGTATGCCCGATGTCTGGATTTGAGCTCGTTAAGACTTG